TCCAAAATTCAATTCTTTAACTAAAGGTTGAATTTCAACTAAAAAGACATTTTAATTAAAATTTTCACAGAAGTTACAGCTTGTTATGGACCAGCTGTACCGGCATGCCTTGCTCATATAAGTCCCATTGGTTTCCACTCTCATTAGTTCGGCACATCTGAGCCCGTATCACAATGAAATGTAAAGTACAGCGCAGTGTCTGAGAATTAGTGTATGCCTCCTGAAACAACGAATGCCACAAACCAAGTTTTATTTATATTTTGCCATCTGATAACATAATAATGTGATAATATAAATCTTACTTTGTGAGCATCACAAAAAATATATATTATGAAATAAAAATATTATCACGTTAACCAAAAGAAAAAACAATATATTTAGAAAAGAAAAATATTACAATATAAAGGTGGTACCAGCTTCTTCCTGTTTTCAATCATTTGCTGCAAACGTTTAAATTATGCATCGGTAAGACAAATTACCTTTATTTTCGCTCTTGTTTTAAACAGGTATTAATTCAACCACAAATAAAACCTATTCCTCAATAAGGGAAGTGTTTATTAATTACCTAGGATTACATGTAAATTTAAGGAGGGATGATGCAGTAACTATTAAGAAAATTTCATTATAATTGCTTACTTCCTCATGGATATGAAGATCTTAGACAATTAAAAATGGTGCTATATCTCACAATAAAAGGAACTGCCATTGGATTAACAGTAATCTCTTTGATAAATGAGCAGTTGCTGTAAAAATTGTTTATTGTGAGAATTATCAAATAAAAAAATCAGATTAGCTTTCAGTAGGGTTTGCAAGAAGCAGTGTTGCTAATTGTGATTTTTATTATTTATACAGTGCCAAGTTTGGTGGGAACCTAATGGATAAGTAAAAAGATAAAGGGGGGAATTCCTGGCTCTACTGAAGTCAATAGTTTTGTCAGTGACTTTAGATTTCAGTCAAGGTCCTTGCATTGAAGAGTTTACAATCTGAGGCCCTGATCCTGCAAAGACTTGTGCATGTGCTTAACTCTGCTCATAGTGTGTAAACCAGGTCCTCTCAGGAAAAAGGTTTGATAAAGTTCTTGAGCTCCAGCCTGGAATGCTTACCTCTGGTTCTCCCACAAGTGTCTGTTTCCTACTGCACTGCTCACCACACACAGCAAACCCTCCTTGAACAAAGCTGTAAATCCACTACCCTCTTCCACTTCAAATGCCACTTCTGCTGTGACACCTATGTGAAATCAGCCAGCTAATGACTGCTGGGCTGAGTGGCAATCAAGTGAGAGCTCAAGAGAGAGGGGATTGGTCCTGCTTTGAGCAGGGGGTTGGACTAGATGACCTCCTGTGGTCCCTTCCAACTCTGATATTCTACGATTCTATGATATTATTTATTTTTAGAAGTACACCAGACACCCTTTCATCTAATTCACAACCATCAAGCTGTGCACACAGGTAACCTATGTCACCATGAGATCTCATCATCCTCATCATGCTCCTTCCCTCCTCCCTGTAGTGATTGTCACACCCCCTCACTGCATTGTTTTAAATCAGACTGTAAGCTTTTTAGGGCAGTGATCACATCTTTATGTGCACTTGCACAGTGCCCAGCACAATGAGACCCTGATCCACATGGGGCTCTTTGAGTGCTATCTAAATAAAACTAATAAATAATAATAAATTCATACAGAAAACCTTCCCCCCTCACTAACAACAAGGGCCTTGTTCACACAGTTCTTCTCACAGCAGGAGCCTTGACATACCTTCATCCTCACAAAAGCTTTTAAGCCTACTGGTTACTTGTCTATCCTTCTGACAGCCCTACTTCAGTAGCTAAGATTCAATTGGAACTGTGTGTACGCACACCTGAGGATATAATTTTGTCTTAGTACTTTTTAGAGATTGGCCAAGGGCTGTTGAGGGTAACAGACAAGTTAATTAAGTGCAAAGGACAGGTCAAAAATGTGAGACAGATTCTGTGCTGCCTCACAGCCCGTGCCCATGGCTTGGGTGCCATCGCGGGGAGAGAAAATCTGATCAGAATTTGTCCATGGATGTGAACTCAAGTCACTTTATCTTGGAATTTTGTTGCTGCACCTGTTGTTGAAATGTCAGTTCTCAAGTGCTAACCACATGGAGATTTTCTGTGACAAACATCTCATTGCCCTATATCTGTATTTCATTTTAGAAAGCACGTAAAATCTGCACACCAAATGCAGCCAGTTTTTGAAAAAAAAAATACTAGCAGAAATTGACCTTAGAGTATAAGCATTTCTTATTCCCATAACTACGGGGTTTGATGCTTTTCCAAATTAATCACTAACATAGTCCCCCATGGCTGCAGTTTAAGTGGTATATGTCAGAAAATATCAGCTCCCGAGGAGAAATTTAGAAACGTGTGCACGGGCGCATACATAGACACACACATCATTGACAAACAAAGTTACATTTCAAACATTACATTAGTTAAGGAGTGATGAATTTTTCATTGTCACCTAGAAATTTGAATCCTTTTCCTTAAATCATCTTTGCTGTGGACATCCATGTTCTCTGAAGTGCTAAAGTTGTTTTCTGCTCCTGAATAGGTATGTGAATCATTGAAAAATTATCATCAGGCGCTAACACTTACTGACATGAATCACTGAGGATATGGAAGGCTGCCTTAACGAATAGTTCTGGAAAACTGCCATTAATTTTTGTGAAAATACTCAAGATTAAAATTCAAAATGTTTTGGGGACAGAACTTCAGCTAGAGCAAATTGTCATTGCTCCATTAAAGTCAGTGGTAAGTTACACTAACTGAAAATGGGACCAATAATCTTTAGTAAAGGTAATTAAAAATATCTTTCTCCCACTAGTTATAAGAATCTCTCTCTCTCTCTTTTTTCTTTTTTTAAAGAGATATCACTATGTTCTTTGTGCAAGAAAAACAAAGTTTGAAATGCAGCTCCCTTAGGGATTTCGTATACTGGATTTTTGGCATGGTCAGTCTGGCCAAAGGAGAGCAGTGATCAGGGAAGGGCTATCTATAAAATAAGTCTATAGGAAGAATCAACATTACTAGCTCTAATAATTGGCAACTGCTGAGAAATTTTATACATTAAGAAGTTGATATTGAGTAAGGAGCCAACCCTGTTTACACTGAAGTCAATGACAATTTTACCATTGATATAAAGTGGAATGGGATCTGGGCCTTAGCTTCTAGCTTAAGTATATAGATCCATGAAATCCATACCCTTAATGTTTTATTGTGTTGAAGAAAGTCAGTGCCTTTATGTAGTAAAATAATTCATCCTGAATTGTACAGGTGTGTAAAATTTATCTCACAAGAGTCTGCATTCCAAGTTTTTTATATTTTGTCACATATTTGAAAATGGCACTGTGATGCTATTTATAAGAAAGGTGACCATTTATATCACTGTTCTTACCACTCTAACACAATTTCCATAAATCTTATACACAGTGTATCATGTAAGGTGCCAATGGAAAAGTTATGATTTGCTAAGTATGATTATCCTGTTTGTATGCATGTATCATCTTTGTATCTGAAGTTATGAATATTGGCTATGTGCTGTTATCTTAAACCTGTGTTATATTCTTGTGTGACATCCTCCAGATAGGACTTACATTAGGGCCAGACAGCTATGTATTGATGGCCCATCGAGGAAACTCAGCTCTCACAAAGGGCCATTTAAGAAACTCATCCCATCCAGATAGCTCTTCCTGAGGATGTCTCAGCCAGAAAGGAGCCAATGGCCGCTCCATGTGATTCAGCAAAACATGTAGAGGCACATGATATGCTCATGTGACCCTGGACTCCATCTTGGGCCAGTAACTTTCCACAAACAGGGACAGCGGGCTTTGTTTGGGACAGTAAAATTTCAAGCACATGGCAGAGGATATAAAGGACCCTGAGATATCTCCATTTTGCCTATTTCCTACCCTAATTCTCTGGATTGTGGGTTTACAACTAAAAGGAGCATCTTGAACTTTGAACTGAGGACCTTCCAATCTGTTGGCAGTTACCAGAGAGACTCTACAAGCCATCAATTTATTCCAGGGGTGGCCAACCTGAGCCTGAGAAGGAGCCAGAATTTACCAATGTACATTGCCAAAGAGCCACAGTAATATGTCTGCAGCCCCCCATAAGCTCTCCCCTCCCCCCCCCCGGCTCCCAGCACCTCCCACCCATCGGCAGTCCTGCTGATCAGCGCCTCCCCCTCCCTATCACCTCTCAATCTGCTGTTTCGTGGCATGCAGGAGGCTCGGGGGGGGGGGG